TATTTTCTATAAAACATCTTGAACTAAATACTGACCTTTCCATGATTTTATAAGGCATTAAAGATTTATAAGTATGGAGTTGTAACATTGTCAATTGTACATAAGATTGAAATAAAAAACTATAACGTTTAGGATCTGTATACATTAATTCCTAAATATTTTAATAAATATTTATTAATTTTATATATATAAATACAATATAATATTTATATATGAATATAATAATTCTATGATATAACATAAGAAATATATAAATATTGTAATAATATATAAAAATTTATATTTAAGAAATCTTACCAATAAATTTGTTCCACCAACATTTCGCCAAAGTTCTACTGGTTCTTGTAGAACTGTAGTATTGTTAAATTCTTTGAAATGACTTAAAAATGTAGTTTTCCCGCTTCCTATATTACCTTCTATACATACTGTAAATGGCCTTTTATACATTTTGCAAATAGAAGTAGTCATCTTTAGCATAAACACAGTTTTTGCTTAAAAAAATTAATATATATATATTATACATATAATATATTATTTTTAATATATTATTAATATATATATATAAATTATATTTATTATGTTTTATTATAAATAACATATGAAATATTACGAATAAATTTTCATATTTAATGTCACAAAAATAGTTGCATCATCGTAGCAATTGCCGCGTAAACTTTACATCGAGTTCGTTTACTGGCGGAATTCTTTAGAGAGGGGATAAAAGTATGCTCCTCCATAAATAATAATGATTAATATTTTTTATACTATCTTTAATTACTTTTCTTACCTATAACATTCATTTTTATTTAATTTTTATTATTAAGATTTTCTTTTATAAAAATTAAGAATTATATTATTTATATTTTTCTTCCTTTCAATAAACTTTTACATTATATCGTGTAACCATTGTGTAGTCGTAATATAGATTGTCATACTAATTATTGCAATTGAAATATAAGTAAATAAATAATGCATATATTGTACAAATGAAAATATTACTTTATTACATTTATAATTCTAAATATAAATCAAATATATAGATATAATATTTTTACGAAAAAGAAAAAAAATTATGTATTTAAAATAATCTTTTTATTAAATTAAAGCATTAAAGCATGTATTTCATTAATATTTTTCATTAACGAAAAAAAGAAAAAAACAAATACGCTCAATTATTAATATGTAAAAAATTTATAATTTTGTATATATAATTTCAAGAGAAAAATTTTTTAATTTTTTAATTTTTTAATTAAAACTCTTAGATAAAGAAAATGAACAATCAATAATAGTGCATGGCATAGATTTAACAATATATAATATATATGTACATATATATGTATATATATATATATAATGACTATTTTATCAACAGATATTATTTTGTTATACTAGTTGCTAGAAAAATAAAATTGACTTGACATGTTCAAAACGATGATTTGACGATATATTTTTAGATATTTATTAAATTATTAATGGGATATTATTATACTGTAATTTTTATCATTGATTTTTAATGAAAAAATTTTTAATGATTATTACATTTTGTTTGTAAATAAATTTTTAAAAATGATTTAAGCAATATTGTGTATTAAAAATATGTAGTATGGTGCAACATGTAGTATAGTATCAGTTGCAGATTATTGTAATAATTCAATTTGTATGCATTTGTATTTAAATATAATCGTAAAATATTTGATGTTGAAAGGCGAAAATATGATAATCGTTAATTTATGATTATTTATTTTTATTAAAATTTTATTATAATTAGAACAATGCGAAATTTTTTGGGTGATATTGTAATTTGGTGAGTTCCAAATACGAAATTGTTTGAATAGTATTAAGTATTAACATTGTGTTTCATTTTTTTTTCTCTCTTACTGTTAAGAAATTAAATATATATGTAAAAAATTTCTGGATGATATTTTTCATTTGTTACATTAATTTTTTCTGTAGCATATTGCTACTACTTTCAGTGAGTCTTATATTTGGAGCTAGCGAAATTATTAAATCTCTTACGAATAATGGAGAAAATTTTGTAAAAATTTCCTCATATAATTGGATTATTAAATTGTGTATAAATTTACTGAGTTATGCTACTGTATTATTGCCAGGTTGTCTCATATATAAATATGTACGTTATACCAAATATATTCAAAGGGGAGGTAAATAGAAAAATATATTAATAAATATGAATGAAAAAAATATGTATATATTTTTTTATTTGAAATAATAATTTTTTTAAACAGGTAAAGGATGTATACCCAAGCTAGTACATTCATGTTTTGTGGGACATTGTGAAACAGGACTATTGGATTCATCTTATTCATCTACACCATCAAATCATAGCCAACGTACTTTCACACAAGATGCTTTATTACTCTTGTATTGTTTCTTGGGATTACAAATCAGTTATTTAACATGGGGTTATTTACAAGAGAAAATAATGACTCAGGTATAAATCATTTAACAAATACAGATAAATATTTATATATATGAATCATTAAATTGCAATAAATTATAATCTGAATAATATGAAAAAATTAAACAATCAATTTTAATCAATATAAAAAACATGTTATACTATATTCATGTATACGTGTAAAACATATATACTATTATATATATATAGTATATATATATATACTATATATATATATACTATATATGTATACGTAGTAAAACATTTTATTAATTTAAATCATTTAGTAATTATATTTAGATTATTTAAATTTTTTACAAAGCATAATTTTGTATTATTATATTATTATATATTTAAACATAGATTTTTAATATTTTTTGATATTTAGAATGCAAATTATAAAATTAATTATGCGCCGTTATTATTGAATATTTTAATACAAGATGATTCAATTGTTAATTGCAGAAAAAATTTATATAATATGAAAATATTTATTAAAAATATTCTTAGGAATATGAAGATGTTGCTGGCAACAAAGATCGTTTTCAAGATTCACAGTTTTTAGTATTTGTAAATCGAATTCTTGCATTTCTAATGTCGGGATTATATTTAATAATTCGAAGACAACCACAGCATAAAGCACCTCTCTACAAATATGCATTTTGTTCTCTATCAAATATTATGAGCAGTTGGTGTCAATATGAAGCTTTAAAATATGTCAGTTTTCCAACACAGGTAATCAAATTTTTATTATTTTGTTTTCTTTATTATTTATAGAGCATTGTTCAATAATTATATATATTTTAGGTATTGGCAAAAGCTTCAAAAATAATTCCTGTAATGATTATGGGAAAAATAGTTTCACATACTACATATGAATATTATGAATATGTTACAGCTATACTCATTTCCATTGGAATGACATTGTTTATGTTAGATAGTTCAGATTATAAAAACAGTATGTGATTTTTTATTTTAATATAATTTTAATTTTTTTTAATAGAATAAATTTTTTTAATAATTAGTATTTTTAATTAGTATTTTTAATAATTCTACCAATGATTTTTAGATGGAGCTACTACTGTGTCCGGTATTATTCTCTTAGGAGGTTATTTATTATTAGATAGTTTTACAAGTACCTGGCAAAGTGCATTATTTGTGGAATATGGTGCAACAAGTGTGCAAATGATGTGTATAGTCAATATGTTTTCTTGTTTATTAACTGCAATGTCTTTATTTCAACAATCAAGTTTTCCACTTATATTCTCATTTATGACAAAGGTGATTTTAATTAGTTTAAGTTGAAATATATATTTAATTGTAGTAATAATGTTCAATTTAATTTTAATATCTTTATTGTTACCTAGTATCCTAGGTTTGTTGTGGATTGCTCACTTATATCAATTTTTTCTGCAAGTGGTCAATTGTATATCTTTTATACAATATCTAAATTTGGACCAGTAACATTTGTGATTATGATGACTATACGACAAGTAATTAATTTTTCTTTGCATATATCATTATT